TAACCTTCCATCAATTTGTAACAATAAATGGACCAAGAGAAGTACGGATCAGGAATGCGAAAATTTTTGGCTACAAGCAGGAAAAATAACATTTGTCATCATATTGAGAATTTTTTTGCCATTGTGACTTCTGGAATGTTAGTAAGTATTGTATACATATATATATATGTACATAAGGAAGACTTTTTCTTTTTTAAGAATTTAAAATGAAAACCAGCCGCCAAGGACTTTCATTTATTGAAGAAATAAAAATAATGCTATCTTGAATGTTAAAAAATAAACCATAATTTTAATTATAAAAGAAATATCAAAGCAATAAACGGTTCGAAAGGACAAAGTTTGATAAATGTTCTCTAAAAAAAAAATTTTTTTTTTTATGCACATTTTTGTATTAATTACGAATATTGAAAGGACACGTAACGCAAATAAAATTAAATTTTACGAAAATATACAAAAGAACAAAAGTTCTGCAAATATGTGTAAATGCGACAAACGCGACAAAATGGTTTGAATTATTTCTTCGAACGTAATGAAGTTGCTCGATTGAATCGTACAGGAGGTCCGTCAGGTCCGTCGGGATTGCTGTTTAGTGCACGCATTGGTTGACGGCTCCCCAAGCTTGCACATGAAAAACGGTCTCTTGGGCCGCGAGAACCAGCATTCTTGAGCACTCTATTTGGGACAATTTTTCTATTTTCTTTTTGCAGACCAGTGGCCACAGTCTGCATAAGGTTGCGATGCGTAAATTGTTTAGATCTAAGTAAAACATTATTCAGTTTTTTATTATTTTTGGAAATGTCAACTAACTCTTCGGACAATACGCACGTAACTAAATTCGATTTACACTTAAGTGCTTTGCTTTTCTCCCAATGGCTTCCAGTTGAAGCTGGGCTGACAAGGAACGTGGAATTTCCACCAACGTTATCCTCTTGAACAGGTAATAACTTTGTCTTATGTAAATTCGTTTGTTCTCCATTAGTCTCTGCTGAATAGTTGCCGGCACTTGTTTTGTCTTCTAATCCATCTAAATCAAATAATTCATCGCCAACAACAAATTCTCCAATTTGTACAAATTTTTCTCCCTCGCAACCAAATGCATCATTGTTTTGATTGTCAAACATCGTTAGCATTAGGCCGAAATTATTCTGGCCACTGTCTTCAGTTTTTAATAAGTCTACATAGAAATGTTGCTGGAGCGCTTCTATATGATATCGTTGGTCTTTAGTGAGATACGCATCCTTGATGACTTTGTAACTTAAGTCAATCACTTTTAGTAGCTCAGTATGAGTGCTAATTAAGTGCTCGCTTCTAAGTAGTTGTTGTGCGTAATGCAAGCAAATGAATTGATTTTTTAAACATGGTTGTAAAGTATTTGCATATTGTGAGGTTTGAACATCATCCTGCATCTCTTGCAAGCCTTTGTAAAGATTTTTGAATTCTTCTCTCACGCACTTAGTCTTATCCATTAATTTATTAATTTCCTTATCTAAGTCACCGCACGATGATATATAGGCCAAGGACTCTCTTTGTGCCGTAGGAAAAGTTTCAAAAAGTCCGCTCACAATGGCTTTAAGACTTTTACGCCATGTTAGGATTTTTGTCTGATTCTGTAAAGCAATTAGGGTTTTTTGCGTCTTTAAAATCTCGGAAAATGAAGCATTGATGCGATAGCACCAATCACTGCATTCACTGGCAGCGAACGTATTGCATTTGGAAGTTTGATGTTCAAGGTCAGTGTTCGCTCGCTTCAGTCGATCATTTTCCTCTATAAGCTCGTTAAGCTTTTTAATATAAAACTCTTTGGGTAAATTCGATTTCAAAACATTTTGTCGTGAAGTTGTGCGAATTCTTTTTGCACGTCCAGCATACTTTAAAGTGTTATAGGTATCCTCATATGGTAAGGAACTCATTGACACATTGGCCACCATTAAAGTTTGGCAATTACCTCCCAAAGAGTCCTTCAATATGCGCGTGAGATTAGAGTCGCGATATGGTATGTGTTTCGAACCATCAGCTAACTTATTAATGCAATTCCCTAAAGCCAATAGCGATTTGTTAATACTGGCACCTTCTTTAAATCGAGATTTCACTCCTTTGGTGCTAGCCGCTCTTTCACTGCCAGCTAAATCGATCATTGAAAGTTTCACTATACGCTTACTACCAGTTTTAGAATCCGTCATACGAACGTGCACTTGGAAGACGGCATGAGAACGAGAACTTTCCGCATTAATATCGGTGGGATGCTGCGTGCGATTGGAATTGCCCAGCGTCAATAATTTAAGCAATTCTTCGACGCTGTATATTGGGGTCAAAGACAAACCACTTACAATAACTCCCTTTGCATCCTCCCGTAACTTAAGCGGTCCAGTTTTCGTTAGTAAGTTCATTACTTGTTCATTATATATTTCCAAATAGCTGACGCCCAGATCAAATCTGTAGCCATTAGTTTGCTCTTCGATTTTATTGAAAAGATGACTCATCGTTAAGGACATTAATCCAGCACAACGACGATTGCCAAGCATTGTAAATGTTTTCCCAGCCCCCGTTGCACCATATGCAAAAATTGAACAGTTGTAGCCGTTTAAAACAGAGTCAACCAACGGTGCTACACATTCTTCAAATATTTCTTTGTTTGCTGCATTCGCATCGAAAACTCTATCGAATTCCATGCTCATTTTTTTGTTTACCCGTTTCGTAACATCTCTAAACTTTTGTTTAACGCCTCGAAAAAAGAACTCATCGTCTTCTTCATCTGGATCAAAAAGTAGCGTCGTTCTATCAATAACTTCGACGACACTTCTCGTATTCAGCTCTTCTTTTTGATTGCATGGTCTTACTCGCACCGCAACCTTTATATTCTTTTGTTCATTAGCCATTATTACTCCGTGATATTAAAAAAAATTATTTAAAAAAATAAAAATTAAATTTTATCCCTACGCTTCTAGTTGAAAATAATCCAATGGCTAGGTTTACTTTCAACAGATCGCAGCAGCAATTTTCCAATTTTCAATGAACGTCTGCCTGATAAAGCCAACCCAAGATTTGTTTCTACACAATTATGGCCTTTTGATGCAAACTTTTTTTTTTGTTGCAAATATTTCCAAGGATTGTTTCTTAGTGCTTCTATATCAAAACGGATGAGATTTTTGTTTTACTCTTATTCGGGAGCTTCGTAGGCTTTTTTCACTTTTTTTTTTATTATTTATTTTTATTTTTTTTTTTTTTTGTTTGTTTGTATATGGATTATGCCTGCTTGATTCAATTTAGACCCATAATCCAGTAACGTGAAAAGCAAACTACTGATGATACTTTTTTTATTAGAAAATTTTATAAATATTATGACAGCAATTGTTTTTCAACACTTGAATCATGTTTTTTTTTTGTTCTTGAAAACAGGTATTTTCAGTTGCCAGACGATCCATAGCAAATATATTTATATCCTACACCAGTTGTGGCAAAAAGTTATGTTAAGTTTGTGCGAATATATGCTACAGCTAACACGACTTGAGATAGGCCCACCTTTTATTATACCGATCGATTGAGGATTATTTTCTGAACCAATCGTCGCTTGTCTATACTTCCGTCCTTTTCCTTGTCTTGTTTTTTGAGATATTTTGATGAAATTTGCTCCAAATGTCATGTTTTAACCCAAGGACGAACGTTTTCAAAATTGTTTCGAATCGGCCAACTTTCTCGACCACTTGCGATATAACGCCGATACATTGTTAACTTTTGAGTGGCGCAGGCTGTTTAATGGTAGGCTTTGCCCCATTCAAGCGCTTTTACTTGTTTTATTTTTTAACCGTGAAAACAACAAATAAGAGGTTAATAACGGGACTAGAACGGTGGGGAGAAATATTAAGACTCTTTCTCTAAGAAAGCCCACGCACTTTTTGAAAATAATCTCTCTCTTGTTCTCAAGAGAATGAAATTTATCAACGCGTTTTAATTCGCGTATTTTTAGTGAATTTATTCTGTCTAATGTTTGCACATTCTTTGTCCCGCTTACACCATGCGAGAGAAGCGCGATTTCTAAATATTACTTTCAACGTTTTATTACTCCCAGCAAATCCCGAATCGAGATATTGTGTAAATAGGGAAGGATTTTGCTTTTATTTTTAAAAATTTTAATGCGAAAGTAAACCTAAGCAAGAGACAAAGGATATTAGCTTCGATGTGAAATAAAACTTGTATATATAAAAATACATAACATAAGAAAAGCTCTACACATAAAATGAAACTAGTAAAGAAGTAAAGATAGAAAACGAACGCATACTCCTTCAAAAATATATACTAACGTGATGAATATAAATCATGATCTCTTGATCGATGGTGCGCCACCGCATTGATTGACGTTGCAAATGCACTTTTTAGGATTTTTCCTTGCTGTTTGCACTACGCGAAAAGAATGTTCAAATTACATGCCGTTATTCCATAGCTTACACAATCAAATTAATAAACAAATGTATCGAGATGAAGCATTAGAAAGCGAAGAACAAAAATCCTCAGAAAGAGCTTAATAATGACATGTTAAGGTTCAAAATACCCAGAGCAGCTGGAAACATTTTGCAATAAAAATGAGTGCTCTCGTCTGCATACATCACAATTCACGTCATCCTGGAGACCGATCAACTTTTTCTGAAAGTTTTCGACCTTTTCGCTCAAACACTTCATATCATCGATTAATAATTTATTTACTTGCTTACTTAAATTGCTCGACAATATGTACGATAAACATTTTTTTGCTCAGCGCAAGCACCAGGTAAAATTAAAAAAACTCGCTTACAATGTCAATGCGATGGCACTGTGAACTTCTTTTGAAATCCTTTCATCTTACGCACAGCAGTTAGGTATTTTAAGTTCAAATGGGGCATATTCGCTTGCTTAAGACGGCCAGTTTCACCTATAACTTTTTTAATATAAAAGTGTTTCGATGTGTTCGATTTCGGAAGATTTTCGTACATTTTGCAAATGCCCGGCGAGCATTACTTAACAGTTTGTGAGTATCTTCGTATGTTAGGAACTTACTATCACGTTCGTTAGTTAGGCAAAGTTTTGTAATTTCTTTCCGATCAACCGCTCAATAGCCGAGTAGGGTTCAAACTATTAACGTAATATCCTAACGCCAAAAGCGATTTCTTAATGCTGACACCATCTTCTTTTAATCGTAAACTCAATCCTTTGGTGCTAAGCCCCTCTTTCATTGCCATCAAAATCTATCAAGAATCCATCATAGGAACGTGCTTGAACGTGTAGTTGTCGATAATAAGATCATTATTTGCTCATTATATATATTTCCAAGTAGCTAACGCGTAAATCATATCTGTAGGCGTTACTTTGCCCTTTGATTTATTAAAAAGTTGCTTGATTGCCAAAAATGTTACGCTGGAAACGAACGACTGCCAAGCGTTGCAAATGTCATTTTATCCATTTTAACGATGGTTTTCGTATCCTCTTCAAATTCTTTTCCATTATATGGTGTTGTTCGCACCAAACCCCCTACATTCTTTTGCCCATTAACCATGTTTGCTTCCTCTTTTTTCTGCGTGGCAAAGCGGCCACAAAGAGTCTGCCTAACGATATATCCAAGATTTCTTTCTAGAAAAATATAGACACTTAATACAACTTTGTTTTGTATCGAATTTTTTCAAGAAATACCTTTAACGCTTCTACATCAAAGCGAACTTTTTCTTTTTTTTCTCCAAAATTATGACAGCTGTTGTCTTACTACACTCAAGCGAAATATGGTTTTGAAACAATGTATTTTTAGTTTAGACACACAAAAGCTATCGAGTGACTGGTAAACTAATGGAAATTATTTTTATTTTGTAGAGATGGAAGCAAATACCTAAGAGGTTGACTTTTTACTCCGTAAAATTTATTTATTCATAAAGTGGATAGAATGGCGCGTGAAGTATTAATAAATTCTGCCTCAAAGAAAATCAAAGCACTTTTGAAACAGAAACTCGAAAATTTCATTCCTTTCGAACAAATTGATCGATGTATGGCTTATTTATAACATTCGAACGTAGTCGATTTGCCACATTGTCTAAATTCAGATTGAGATTTAATTTAGCTACATTTGTCTATCTATCCTTAACCCATTTTATTGACTGCTGATATCCTCAAATTGTAACAATTTTAATAGAAAATTAAAATGTCAAATACATCTTCTCCATTCCCCCGGAAACAACAAGCTTAGCAATGGTGCGTAATTAGATCCCTGGGGTCGTACGGAAACACGCAACACAAGTTCCGTCGTCCGGCTGGAGTTAGAGATTGGGAATGGGTTAGAATCAGTTTGAATGAATATAAAACTCTTTACATGTTTTTAAATCGAAAAGTGCTTAAACACGCTTTTCCCCATTTTTACCTTCAAAAAGATATTTAAACTGTGAAATTTGTTCTCTACTTTCAGGTAACGGCGAAACATTTCTTGGTAATTTTATCACACAAATCATGGTAAGCTCTACTTGTAATAGCCAGATAGATTTAGATAAGAGCCTTCAATTTAGTATAGCTATGGTAAGCCTTACTATTTTCATACCGTTTCTAGAGGGAGCGTGGGTGCTAATGTTCAGAAAGTCGTTTTGTTTTTCCCCAACGCACTGCCTTCATTATAAAGAGGTGAACAGAAAAATAGGTGCGAGGAGTATTTTTCAATTCTACGTAATAGAACTTCTTAAATGTAGCTTCCACAAACCCCACACAAGCAAAACTGCTCAATATTAGATCCTGGAATCCCTAGTAAGCTAGTTATTGCAATGAAAATTTGAGGGGTTTTGTGTTGCTTCTGTAGCTTTTTCAGCTGGACAGTGAAGTAGGTGCATCCTTTTTAGAGCCGTGAAAAGCGGTTCATGCAAGTAAATCGAATTTCTTGAGAAAAAGATCTGATATGAATTAATTTTTGTAATAATATTAGATTGATCGAGCACGTGAAGAAAATAGACGGCTTGTTTATCAGCGCAAACCATACAAATTTGTTGGCGTATCACCAAGACGGTCTTGTGATTTCGTCACGAATGCTTTGGGCCTATAAAAAAAAATTTACAGATAAAAAACGAAGCAATTACAAAGAACTTCTCCTGGCATCGATAATCACATGATAGTTTTAACAAGCGGCGATGTCTTCAAATCGTCTAGAGCCATTCCCAATGAAATTGGGACCACCACGACCTACTCTTCGATGCCTATGAGGTGCCAAACTACAAAGGTGGAGTAGCTTGGAAAATTGCTTTGCTTAAAACAAGGAATTTGGAGAAGAGAAAAAACTTTGCTTCAGCCCATAAAAATTGGGGCCAACTAGAAGGGGAAGAAAAGTGGAGAAATCTACCTTGGGGCGTCGAAACCAAAAATAAATTTGTTTAGTTTGATATTGGGAAACGAGATGCACTTCGGTGAAAAGGAAAAAGTTCCACATTAGATTTGCTAAAAACAATTAACATGACAAGTAATCTTACGATATTGCGCCGTTTTTCATGAAAGGGTATCGGCCTGATATACCTCAGAAAACACTATGAATAGATTTGTATACAAAAACAAATTGGAAACTGTAATGTTCCCGCTTGCCGCTAAGCCACTGCATAACTCGAATGTGACTGCGTGGCCAAATCATTCTCCCGTCCTCAACCCAATTAACAATGTTTGGGAGAACTAAGGCGTCATATTTTCTATAGCAATGAAGAAGAATTGTGGCAGAGTATTCCCGATAGAGGAAAAATGGGTAGGGATATCATATTTGATGGATAATATCGTAATGGTTTTGCGGGAAAAAGTTTCTTTCTTCTTCACTATGAAGAAAAAAAACGAAATTTCTTTCTGACTCACCCAATAATATTCGTTTCATAAAGAGCAAACCACAAGGAGTTTCTTTCCG